CTAGTGCGGGTGTACAACACTGCAGTTGTCGCTTATATAAATCCCCAGGGCAGACTGCGTTCTCGCCATTTGAACAAACAAGTGGAGCAGGTTCCTGTCCCTCAGGGTGATTTACATTCCCAGAAGCATGAATGTGGGAGCAGATCTATTGCCCAGACAGGAGGTCACACGTGGGGATTGGAAGCTCCATCCCGATGTAGTCAGTCAGATCTGGGAAGGATTTTCCGATGTAATGTTCCCTGTACTACTTGTTGACTCCTCCAGTCTGGACACCATGACCCATGCATAGCCCAGGAAGCATCTCTATGTGTTTCCACCGATCGCTCTGCTCCTGGGAGTCCTGGAGAAGGTCTGTCAACAAGGGTCATCCCTATTACTGATATCACCTTCTAGGCCGACCAGAGCCTGGTTCTCAGAAATCATATCTCTCCTGACGGCTCTCCTTGGGTGATACTGAACAGGAGAGATCGCCTGTTACAGGAGCAGGGGACGATATTCCATCCCTGGCCTGAGTTATGAAATCTTCAGCGATCTAAGCATCTAAGAGATGCTGGACTTTCAGTGGATGTAAGTGCCTCCACTAGAAGAATGTACGCCCTTAAGTGACATTGTCTTTGAAAGGTGGTGTACTATACATCATGCAAAACTAGTCCACTGCCAGATTGTTTCAGTGATGGAGTGTCTGGAGAATAAACTGTCAGCAGGAACATGCCCTGCTACTCTCAGAGTATCTGTGGCCACCATTTCAGTTTGAGTGTAGCTTTTGAAAGGAAACATCTTGGGTTTCTTGATTGTAACCCTGTTCCCTGAAAAAGCAGACAGGAAAAGAAATGGACACAGCGACCTCATTGATTTCAACGGAGAAAATTGAAGCCTGTTAAAAGCTGATAGCTAGGCGTACTGCGTAGGCTCAAACTGAGCCTATCACGTGACCTGTATGTCTTTTAGTAGAAATCTGAATAATTCCCTTCCGAATCTCACAGAGATGGAGAGAGTGAGTATTAGCTGTCCATGAGCTAGCAGCAGAATCAACTTTATGACTCTCTATGGGCTTCTCCCTCGACTTTATCGGACTTTATGTCTCCATGTTCCCCCGATTGCCTGCAAGCTTCTCCTCCTGTCTATATGGTAATTTCTCTACTGTGCGACAGAGAGTCGATTCTTTATGATGCAGTTGTTACTACCTATTTTTACAAAAACTGCTTCGACAGGGCCATAATGTAAGATACAAGGTAATGGAGCCTTTTATACATTGTTGTGTTTCTTTATAAATAAATAATGGACAAATTGAGTCTTTAGACTCCTCAGATTTAAAGTTATTCGCTGTCAAAGTGACGCCAATGAAATGCTAACAGCAGGTGAAGTTCTGCTACAATGGCGGCTCCTGCGAGGTTTCAACTTCCGGTTGATGGATTACCCCCTTGTGAAAAAATGGGAAAGTGCGCTTCATTGCTGCACTGAGGGCGTGTTCATGATGTTCTTCAGACAAAATGACCTGAACGCACGTCACATGGCTATTTGTACCCTCTGATGTGCAAATTCCGAAGAAGTCATCATCAGAGGTTATTCAAGACAAATTATTGGGCGTGTTTGCCACTCGTGTTGTTCACAATCGGTCAAACGAAGACGTTTTCCCCACTCACTTTCCCTCTTGTAACAATCCTCATAGTTTGTCCTCTGTAAAGAGCTGGTGATTACAGCGAATGAATACAGTGAGTGAAGTAGCGCTGATCCTCTTAAAAGACTCATTGATGCCTTGTCAGTCTGTGTCCAAATAAAGCTGAGCTTTATGGTATTTATAGGAAGAATCCTGTTCTCTCCTGAAACTCCTGCTTGTGACTTTGAGGAAGGATCTGGGACAGACATTAGAGCTGGATGCTTCCCCTCAGAAAGGCAAACACTGGACTGTTGTATCATTTTGTCTCAGAGGGTCAACAATATCTTTGGGACCTTTTTTGAATTTGGAATGAAATGTTATCGATCATTTAAATGTATTTAGACTTTGTCATCTTGTCCTCAATAATATGAATATACAAAAAGATAATTAACAGGGGAGCAATGGAAAGTAGGCAGAATATTAGGAACAAAATGCCAAACTTGGAACACGACGAGAGCAAGGCAAAAAGGAACACAAGCAACCATTACATACAACAATGGACAGAGAACCAGAGAAAGACAATGGCGATGTACAGTATAGACCAAGGGAAAAAACCCTTGGAGAATGAATTTGCGTTTACATAGGGGCATCTTTAGCCCTGGACGGAAAAGGAGCAGCTGCTTTGGGCCCCAAGCCACCCCCTGTGCATGTGCCTGACCATAACCCTGCAGAAAATCCAGCATAAATTCAATGTTGGTCCAGGCTCATTTATGCTGGTTAGGGCTGTTATAGTGCTGGTGTAGCTAATAGACTAGTAATGATGTTCTCAAGCTAAACTGAACTGGTGTTTCTGGTACACCCAACACTACTGCTTCCCATGCTGGTGACCTGCAAACCAGCATCTCATGCTGGTCCCAACATGCAAAACATACATTTTTGTGGTGACCAGCAATGTTGCGTTTTTCTGCAGTCAACACGGTATTTTACCATGTTTTAGTTCATGCCCAGTTGGCTAAAAATATTAGCCTGTTATGCCAGACCTACATCAAGATGTTAGGTCTGGAAACTCTTCATTGACAGGGTTCAATCCGAGGGGCGGGATAAACGGTTGTCTTTCAAATTCTCCCTGCACGCAATTGGATAGCGCTACAGCCAATCAGAGCAACGAAGAAGGTGACGTACTAAGCGGAGCAAGTTGATATATTAAACTTTTACCGCATCCAGTCCAGCTGTCAACATTGAACATTGAAAATAAGGGAGATTTCCCAGAATCCATCCCCAAAATAAGGGATTTTTTTGTTTTTTTACACGACCCACAAACTTTAAAAATAAAACACTAATCATTAGAAGTAAAAAGAGTTTATAACTAGCCTACGTATGTGTGAGAGAGAAAGAGACAGTATGTGTGTGTTTTTGTGTGTATGAGAGAGAAAGAGACAGTGTGTCATTAAAAAAATAATATCATAGAGAATGTTTAAATACTAATATCAGCTTACGAGGGAAACGGAGCCGGAGTAGTGGTGCTTCGGGGTGCTGGGGATGATTCGGGAGAGGTCCGTGCACCTTACCGATCATAGCGCGCACCGACACAGAATAAAGCCTTTATACTCGACGACACAGCACGAGTGGGCAAAAATGACAAGTTGATCGTTTCGCCACAGCTTTTTTGTAACAGCGCCGCATCCGAGGATGAACGACTTCAAACCGAATATGTCCGAGCTTGCTCTGACCGGCTCAACTCTGTCGTCATTATGTTAAGCCCGCCCGCCGACTCTATACACGATGTGATTGGCCCTACCAGAGTTGAGTTTTTCCAGCTAAAATGTCTATGGAGAGTTGCTAGACCACACTTTGCTGCAAAATAATTTTTGCTGCCGCTAGGGTGCGTCTAGATTTCTAGGTTATAAAAATATTGCTTGTTGAGTTGTTTGCATGCCTTAAAGGGTTAGTTCACCCAAAAATGAAAATTAAGTCATTAATTACTCACCCCCATGCTGTACCAACCCCGTAAGACCTTCGTTCGTCTTCGGAACACAAATGAAGATATTTTTGATTAAATTTGAGAGCTGTATAACTACCACATTGGCTCCTAAAGGACTGCCTCTTGACGGCCCAGAAAGTCAATGAAGAAAATGTTTAAATATCCCAAGTGACTACCGTGGCTCAACTATATGTTTATCAAGCGACGCGAATACTTTTTGTGCGAAAAAACAAACAAAAATAACGAGTTTATTCGACTATTTCTTTTCTTCCTTGTAGGCCAGAACGAGACTTCCTTAGATTTCCACGACGCACGCGCGAGATTTGCGATCTGCTCACACCAGCTTACACTACTTCAGATCGCAAATCTCGCGCGTGCGTCGTGGAAATCTAAGGAACATATAGTTGAGCCACGGTAGTCACTTGGGATATTTAAACATTTTCTTCATTGACTTTCTGGGCCGTCAAGAGGCAGTTCTTTAGGAGCCAATGTGGTAGTTATACAGCTCTCAAATTTAATCAAAAATATCTTCATTTGTGTTCCGAAGACGAACGAAGGTCTTACGGGGTTGGTACAACATGGGGGTGAGTAATTAATGCCTTAATTTTCATTTTTGGGTGAACTAACCCTTTAACATATTTATTGTAGCACACATTTTAAAAGTTTTATCTTATATCACACTTTTTGGCTGTTAAAATGGAAGCATGTTGGAATTCATGCTCTTCTTTTGTATAAAGGAACATGACCTCCATTTTTGATTTGATTGTCATTAGCATCTTAGTCATTTTGACATTAATAAGCGCTGATCAGCTCATTACTGTAGATCTTGGCGTCATAAAATATCTTATAGCAAAAAAAAGTCATTATTAGGCAATTATTTTATGACTTAAAAATACAGAGGTCCAGACCTCTGGAACCACAATGCTGTGTACTGCCATACTAACTGTAACATTGGTCCACTGGAGGCAAGGTTGCAGAACCCAAGTGCAGTTTAATATTATTCCAAACACGATCAAACACACAAAAAAGGCTGGACATGAACATGAACTTGAACATGGAAAACTACCCAGAATACCACAAGCATCCACCTAGCAACCAGTGGCTCAAGACTCACAATATCGTAGAATCATGGTGGTGAGATACTATAAAATATCATTCAATTTGTTGTAAGTCTAGTTGGGCCCTCTCGCTGCTTTCTGTTGTCGATCATCTGGCCTAAGAGCTGTCTTAACTGGATGTTGTCTTCAGAAATATCAGAAAAATCTGCAATTGAAAACATTGGAGAGTCTCGTCTCATAAAATCACATAATTATGATGGGTTAGGTTTTTGCTGCTGTTCCACATTTTTATACCAAGAAGGGTGTTTATGTGACTAAGATTTATATAGAAACAAGATTAAAATTCTTTTTCATTTCTAATCACCTGTTATTTAATTGTATGGCTATAATTTCCTTGATTTTGTGTTTTTCTTTGTGTTTTAGAGTTGTCAATTTACAAACCAAGAATGGTGCCACGCCACTTTACCTTGCATGTCAGGAGGGCCACCTGGAAGTTGTCCAGTACCTAGTGAAGGACTGCGGGGCGGAGCCAAGTATCAGAGCCAATGATGGGATGACACCATTGCACGCTGCTGCCCAAATGGGACACAACACTGTCATTGTTTGGCTGGTGAGCTGGCTTGTTGGATGAGTATTATTTAAAGTTAAAATATGAAATGTGAAAATATACATAACACATAAACGTACAAGTTTATAAGCAACAGTTACAGAAAAACATCAAAATCTGTGAGCATTTCGAATGAAAAATATAGAAATGTATTTGTTTCGTTATTGTTATATATAACTAAAACATTTTTGGACAGCTTAGAACTGAGTTTTCTGTGGTTTTCCTATAGGAGGAGAACACATTTCTTAAATGAATTGAGATGGATAGCGGCTTATAGTTGAATTGAACTTGATTAATGGACTTGGCAACACTGACACAGTTAACTGAAACAGCATTGAGCTAAGTAATAATGACACTATAATCTTCTGTAAAGCTGCTTTACAGCTTTGACACTGCAATTTTACTGACTTATTAATGTGAAGCTGCTTTGAAAGTATTTATATTGTAAAAAAAAAATGTGACTTGACTACTTTATCCTTTGTGTATAATTACTTGTAGAAAATTAGCATGATTTGTCCTCTGCATTAAACCCATCCAAGTTAGTGCACACACAATAGGAGGCTGTGATTGTGGGTTATGTGCTCAAAGGCACCTCTGTCATTTCCTGTCGCTATTTAGAATTGAACCTACTGGTGCATAATTTGAGCCACTATAGCATATATGTCCCATGAGGCTGGTTGTCTCAATATTTGTAACATCATATCTGTAGATGCTTTATCAGGCGTGTTGTATGAGGTGGTGAGACATTTTAGTACATCTTTACAAACTACTTTTTTTGTCTTCTACAGATGAGTTTCACCGAAATCAGCCTAGCTGACAGAGACAATGATGGGGCCAGTGCCATGCACTTTGCTGCCAGCCGTGGCCATTCCAAGGTTCTCAGCTGGCTCCTCTTGCATGGTGGGGAAATAGTGACAGACAGCTGGGGTGGTACACCTCTTCATGACGCTGCTGAGAATGGAGAGCTGGAGGTATGTATAAGAAATCACCATGAAAATTATTTTAGATTAATGTTTCTTACATCTCTCTTGCCATTCAACATATGGTGCAACTAAATGCAACGTACAGTATTATAACATGTCATTGTGGTACAAATTTAGAGCAACCAACCTCACAAATTGTTTAATCTGAAATAATGTGGCCCGCCAGAGCCCATCTGTTCCTCTCAGATTGTGTACACTATCATCTCCGACTCCCCCAAACCAGTACAGCTTCCACCAGCCATCTCTCTGACCGGTCCAGATTGAACTCATCTTCTCAGCCCAGAGTGAGACAGAGACAGAGCCAGCCACAGAATTTGTCCTGAAACCAAAGCCAATCTCCAGATCCGTCCCAAGGCCAGAGCCTATCAACAGGTCCACCCAGGTGTCAGCACCGTCTGAGCAGTCCACCTCAGAACCAGAGAAGGAGAACTGGCTCATTATCTTTCAGACCTTGGAACCAGCCCCCACCCATGTCCCCACCCCCAGCTTCTCTCCTTCTCAACCCAGCCTCTCCCTATATCCTGCCCATTCTGTTTTTCTCATCCTCTCCGTTGGCACTGTCCACATCCATGGACTCACCTGTTTTACTCCTTTGCTCCACCCTCGCTGCTGATCACCAGGCTGCACCTCGGGCCTCTAAGCTCATGGCTCCAGCTTGGCCTGTCAGCCTGTCGGCTCTGCCTTGGCTCTGTGCTCCATCGACTATACTGTGATCCGTCATCCCTAGGGCCCCACCGGGGTCCCTTGCCCTTCCTGCTCCACCTTGATCATTCGTCATTCTGGTTCCATCACGGACTTCCGGGCCTCCGGCTGTACCTCAGCCCTCAACCCCTTCGGCTCTGATGGGCTCCTCCTTCCCTCCAGCTCATCCAATGTCCTCACTCCGGTCTTCTTGGCTCCCATCTCCACTTTGGTCATTCGTCATTCTGGTTCCATCGCGGACTTCCAGGCCTCCGGCTGTGCCTCAGCCCTCAACCCCTTCGGCTCTGATGGGCTCTTCCTTCCCTCCAGCTCATCCAATGTCCTCACTCCGGTCTTCTTGGCTCCCATCTCCACTTTGGTCATTCGTCGTTCTGGTTCCATTGCGGATTTCCGGGCCTCCGGCTGTACCTCAGCCCTCAACCCCCCTTCGGCTCTGCTGGGCTCCTCCTTCCCTCCAGCTCATCCAATGTCCTCACTCCGGTCTTCTAGGCTGCCAACTCCTCCTTGGTCATTCATCATTCTGGTTCCATTGCGGATTTCCGGGCCTCCAGCTGTACCTCAGCTCTCAACCCCCCTTCGGCTCTGCTGGGCTCCTCCTTCCCTCCAGCTCATCCAACGTCCTCACTCTGGTCTTCTAGGCTGCCATCTCCTCCTTGGTCATTCGTCGTTCTGTTTCCATTGCGGATTTCCGGGCCTCCAGCTGTACCTCAGCTCTCAACCCCCCTTCGGCTCTGCTGGGCTCCTCCTTCCCTCCAGCTCATCCAACGTCCTCACTCTGGTCTTCTAGGCTGCCATCTCCTCCTTGGTCATTCATCGTTCTGGTTCCATTGCGGATTTCCGGGTCTCCAGCTGTACCTCAGCCCTCAACCCCCCTTCGGCTCTGCTGGGCTCCTCCTTCCCTCCAGCTCATCCAACGTCCTCACTCTGGTCTTCTAGGCTGCCATCTCCTCCTTGGTCATTCATCGTTCTGGTTCCATTGCGGATTTCCGGGCCTCCAGCTGTACCTCAGCTCTCAACCCCCCTTCGGCTCTGCTGGGCTCCTCCTTCCCTGCAGCTCATCCAATGTCCTCACTCTGGTCTTCTAGGCTGCCATCTCCTCCTTGGTCATTCATCGTTCTGTTTCCATTGCGGACTTCCGGGCCTCCAGCTGTACCTCAGCTCTCAACCCCCCTTCGGCTCTGCTGGGCTCCTCCTTCCCTCCAGCTCATCCAACGTCCTCACTCTGGTCTTCTAGGCTGCCATCTCCTCCTTGGTCATTCATCGTTCTGGTTCCATTGCGGATTTCCGGGTCTCCAGCTGTACCTCAGCTCTCAACCCCCCTTCGGCTCTGCTGGGCTCCTCCTTCCCTCCAGCTCATCCAACGTCCTCACTCTGGTCTTCTAGGCTGCCATCTCCTCCTTGGTCATTCATCGTTCTGGTTCCATTGCGGATTTCCGGGTCTCCAGCTGTACCTCAGCTCTCAACCCCCCTTCAGCTCTGCTGGGCTCCTCCTTCCCTCCAGCTCATCCAACGTCCTCACTCTGGTCTTCTAGGCTGCCATCTCCTCCTTGGTCATTCATCGTTCTGGTTCCATTGCGGATTTCCGGGTCTCCAGCTGTACCTCAGCTCTCAACCCCCCTTCAGCTCTGCTGGGCTCCTCCTACCCTGCAGCTCATCCAATGTCCTCACTCCGGTCTTCTAGGCTCCCATATCCTCCTTGCTCATTCGTCGTTCTGGTTCCATTGCGGACTTCCGGGCCTCCAGCTGTACCTCAGCCCTCAACCCCCCTTCGGCTCTGCTGGGCTCCTCCTTCCCTCCAGCTCCTCCTATGTCCTCACTGAGCCCTTTTCCACCAAAAAAGAAGTTCGGAACTGGTGCTGTTTCAAAGTTGGTTCAAAGTTGGTTCAACTTGTGACCTTTCTCAGAACCTGTTTGTTTTTCCACTGACTAGAGAGCCCTTGCTCTCTCTCCCTCATGCATATTAATAAAAATCAATTGAAATGATAGTAAAGGGTCGGAAGACCGCAGTTTCGCATGAAGCATTTGGAGACTTTTTTCTCCTGAATTACCGCGGTGTGTGAATTGTGCGGAAAAAAACACGTTGCTTATCTTCTCTAAAAAGCTTTCCGCCCATTCAGCTGACATAAACCACATTTCAATAAACGAAAAAACCTATCCAGTGATTAAATGTTTTCTGTATTGACGCAAATATTGCGCGATCTCCTAAACAGCCGAGATAATCACAGAAGCGTGCCGTGGCTAGACGTCCACTACACAAACATGCACACGTCCGATACACAAACAACTCATTTTAACCTTTCACTTTAATGAATAGTTAAAACAACTGATCTGTCCAACACTGAACTCACGAGACCTGTGAATCGGTGTATAAACAATCGGTAACACTTAATTAGATTAGTTAACTAAGCTACTATTAATAAACTGCACTTCTACAGCATTATTAATGTTAATTTCAATAGAAGAGTCTGTAGGCCCACTATATGTGTAGTAGCCATTAAATAGCTTTAAGTACTATGTACTTACATTGAAATTAATAATTTGATACAATGGACTTTTTTTGTACATACATGTTTTTACATTGTAGTTACATTTTAAAATTCCAGCATGTAATTACAGCTATAATTAATTTATGTAATTACATTTGTAATTACACAGTTGACCCTCCCCTCACAACTTATCCTACCCTTAAACCGACCCATACCACCACACCTGTCCCTAACCTTACCCGTATCACATCTCAATAGCAGCAAAAGTGTTTTACAATACAACAGGAACACAATAATACATTGTACTTATTGTTCAATGTAAGTACATAGTACTTAAAGCCACTTAATATAAAGTGAGACCAAATATTATAATGTAATTTTTTGTTTACATCTATGCTGATTATGAAAATTGAACAGTATAAGTAAGATGCGCAATATATCAGAAGATTTGATGGGTAAGACATGATTTTGACCACTAAATTAAGTTTTGTTTTGTAGAAAGCCTTTCTTTAAAGTGAATTTCGTTTTGTATAAATTTTATCTTAATTTCAGTCAATTTTTCATAAACCAATTCCCTAGATATACTAAATAAGAAGCAAATATAGCAGACAATCTGTCGAAACACTTTGGTGTACGTGCTTCGGTGGAAAAGGGGGGACTCTGGTCTTCTAGGCTCTCATCTCCACCTTAGGCCTTGGACTTCTGAGCCACCGATATCGCCCTGGGCCGTCGCCCCATCAGCTCCACCTGGGTCGTCACCTCTTCTGGCTATGCATTTGTCAGTCGCCCCCCGGCCACTGCCTGAAATGTCCATCAGGACTAAACCCCCCCCCCCACCCACCCCCCACCCCCCCCCTTTGCCGGCTTCTCCAGTTCCGTGTACATCGCCAGCTACTAATCTACCTCCAAGAACCCCCCTCTTCTTGCCTTTCAGAAGGATTTGTTAGTGCACTTGTTATTTTTCATTTTGTGCTTGTATTTCTATTTCCTGTGGGTTTTTTTTATTGTTGTTGTTGATGTTTACCATGTCAAGTTGACAATTGGAGACTTCCAAAACAAAATCAGGAACCTTTAAAATAACAATTTATTTTTATTAAAATAAATACATTCTTAAAACAGAATTATAAAAAAATGTGAGTAAAAGACCAGTGTTTTTATGTCATAACTTATATGAGATTATTGTAAGGAAAGTTGCAGATAGCACAGACATTTTCACAGAAGCACGTCATACTATTTGTTGTAACATGATCCATCTGAGGGTAGTTGACAGAAAAAGTGAGTCAGAGAGTATTGTCTCTTGTTTTCCACCTGAGGGCTAAACGCATGACAGCTGTCATTAAAAGTACCCTTTTACTGCATATATTTTAAAACCACTAATACTTTACTCAACTGTCTTTCTCAAACTCTCAAATGTCAACAGACAAACATTCACACCCTACAAGAAGAGCACACACGCTTTTAAATGATGATGTTTAGGCGAAAATATGTGCCTAATCCTGTGTAAGAGGCTGTGTAATACTCAGAGCTGAGTACTATTGTATCGTATTGATATTGATAGAAACACTGTAGTATCCAGATCAAATGAAGGACCTGTGCCTAAACATGACCACAACGCAGCCCTGAAGTGTAGAGACCTTTTCAACTAGACTATCCCCTGCTAAGGCCTTCCCGGACCTCCTCGCCTTCCCTTTCCCTATGCACAGATAAAAACATTCTCAAAATGATTCCCGTTCACGTCGATCTGCGGAAAATACTAAAAACGCTGTATTATGCAGGCCAGGTACTTTGTAAAGAAAGACAATTCTAAAGCTTATATGCATTCAAACACGCATAGCTATAGACTAAACATGAAATACGTATGTGCATGCCATCATCGTTTTCACAGATTTACGTTTTTGAAGCTTACACGGTGACGATGATTCAAAACTTGGTTTCAAAAACGTGCACTTTGAAACCTACTTGTAACTTTTAAGTTCTCAGGCCACCAAAACACTGTTGTCATGTAAATGAATGGCCAGAACGAATTAAAAGTGATCTGTTTTCTGTTGAAACGCTGTTGTGTACACGGCCCCTAAGTTAATAACTAATGATTTTTACAACGGAAATGAATTAATGAAAAACGTACTTGGACAATGACTTTCTTCTAGAGCTGCAGTACAACTAAAACAATCTTTGTTCCATCAATTTCCTATTATCGCTGTATTGCAAAAAGCGCTATATAAATGAAGGTGACTTGACTATTACTGATATTTGGAAGCATTACCAAATCAGTCAAAAATATTATACATTATATTATATATTTAAGCAGCATTTTCTCAAAACTCTGTGTATAATATATTTGTCCGATTATTCTCCAAAGTTTAAAAAAAGGTTTGTTCACATCCCCAACCAACTAAATATATTTAATAAAGCAGTCCCAGATTTTCTGGGTGTTATAAATATAAATGTGTTTTTCCCTGTGTAGTGCTGTCAAATTCTGGTAGTGAACGGAGTGGATATGGGATTACGGGACCAGGATGGATTCTCAGCAGGAGACCTAGCTGAATACAACGGGCATCAACAGTGTGCCAAGTACCTCCGCACTGTCGAAAACATGGTGAGATACTGTACAGACACAACTACACACAGTCTTAAAGGATGTACAACAAAAGAAATGTTAAATTCTCATCACATGTGCTTTCATATTTCTGTTTTCAATCTTAGTACTACAAAATATGATATATATATATATATATATATATATATATATATACTTTTCTGTGAGACAATGTGTTCAAGTATGGGATTACCAATATAAAATATTAAATTCTTATTGTGTGCACAAAACCTTAGCCACATTTTAAGTTCTATTCCTTTCTGTATGTGTAAAACTTTAATGAGGAACAACAAAGTGCACCCGTCTATACGTGCATGTAGGCTATACATTATAAGTAGGTTGTTGTGAGTGTGTACTAGAGAATAATTGCATGTCCCCAGTGTAATGATGTGGTTTCTTACCACCTCATCAGCTGCAATCTCATTTGTTACTGCCTGTAATTAACTTTTGTTTATCAAAAGGAATTTATTCCTTTAAGCACTCTCAAAGAGTTCATTAACCAGTTACAGGCATCTTTAAGGTCAACCTGCCAAATAAATGCCACTAATCAATGCCTAACAATAACACTAGCTTTCATCTCAGAGTGTGGAACACAGAGTCTTGTCACGCGACCCTTCGGCAGATCTGGAGAATAAACAACCTGACTCAGGCCTCTCCTCTCCCAACGCCACCCTGCCCACCCCAGCCCCCCCTGCGGCCCACTTTGACATCTGCTCGCCCTCCAGCTCGCTGTCCAATTACGACTCTGCAAACTCCAGCCAATCCAGTACTGGAGAGAAAAGGAGTGGCACGCCTCCCTCAAGAGTTCCGACAGGTCAGAGAAACACACATTTATAGCCAACATATCAGTCATAGAGACAGTAAAGACATTTATAATGTAACAAATGAAGCTGTCTGTCTCAAATAAATGCTGTTTTTTTATTCTTTTTACTAATGCATCATGGTTTAATATTGTGCAGCACAACAGCTTTCAATATTGATAACAATAATAAAATGCTTCTCGAGTACCAAATCAGCATATTAGAATGATTTTTGAAGGATCATGTGTCACTAAAGACTACACTCTTAGAAAAAAGAGTTCATTGGGGTTCTGTTATGAAGCATAGGGTTCTTTACTCAACTCCAAAGAACGTTTTTTGACAAAATAAGGTTCTATGATGACAAGAAAGAACCCTTTTGGCACAATTATTCATTCATTCATTACATTATTCTGCAACATTTTGTAATTATATTATTGTTTATTAAAATGTTGTAGTAATTTAATATCACATTTTAATCATGCTGATTTTTGGAGGAGAAAAACTGAAATGGCACTCTTTGTGTGATATTGATTAACTACTTAAAATTATATAAATATATAAATTTTCTAACCCCCATATCTCGAATTTTGTGATCATTCACATGCATTCATAAATACATTTTAGGGTCCTGATGTTTGTCAATAATATGACATATTTATTCCGGAAAGGGATGAATGAACCCAAAAGGTTCCATATAGAACCTTTTTCCTGGTTACAAAGAACCCTAAAGGGTTCTTATTATTGATGCCTTAAAAAGGGTTCTGTATAGACAAATACGTTCCAAATACGTAGCGCTGATAGAACCTTTTAAGGTTCTATACAGAACCTTTTCTTCTAAGAGTGTGATGCTGAAAATGTAGCTTTGCCATCACAGGAATAATTTTAAAATATATTAAAATAGAAAACAGTTCATTTAAATTGTAATAATATTTCAAAATAAATTCAGTTTTTACTGTATTTTTGATGAAATGCTGGCTTGATGAGCATATGAGATAAACAAAAACTGACCAACCCCATACTTTGAACATTTTTAACCATTTTTTTTTTTTCACTTGATACAAAATGTTCTCTTCACATTTCCTGTGAAAATACCCCATGTGCAGAATGATTGAAGCATTGTCTTAACAATGGTGGGAAAAGCTGAGCTCGCTGAAGCAGAACTCATTCAGAAACATGTTGCCATAGCATTGCCCAGGAAACATGCTGTGAGCCTTCCCAGTAATGTCCTCTAGTGGACACATTTTGAAACAGTAATTGTTGAAACAGTGGTATAGATTTTAATACTTTCACTAGCAGTCAGAAGTTGACTGAATTTTTTTTTTATGATCTTAATAAAACCTTTTGATTTATTTAAAAAATGTTCACCGCTACAACATTCCCATATTTACATTTAGTTTTTATAGTTTTGATTACTTACAATGATTATTATTCTAAAATGTCGAACAGTGGTAACAATTAAGAATGAGGTATGTCCAAGCCTACAAGCCTTATTAGATAGAACCTAGATGACATAGTGATTGGAGTAAGCTCTGTGAATACCAAGTTTTCTAAGCGTGGCAAGGACTAAAATAAATAAATAAAATTAATCAAGAACTGAAAATGAATAATAGTATTGAATAATAAGAATAAGATATATTACATGATATATTATGTCAAATATATTACATCATATATTATATAAACTATATCACAACCTAGTAGTATCCATAGCTCTGCCTCTGTGAGTTTAGATTAGTATTGAGGGAAATAATTACAGTTACCATAGTTAGTCATTAACTTCTGTGGCTAAAATTAAATATCCAAGTAAGAAAGAAAGAATTTAAAAATTACATATTAAATAGATAAATGAAAAATAACACACCAGCCAACTGAGTAAAAGTAGAAAAAACTGCAGTGAATACAAACAATTTAGTGACAATATTATAAGAGACTATATTTATAATATTGTAAATATCACATGTAAAATATCACATTGAAATATTTTTATGAATATACTGTAATATGGTAATAATAACAAAGAAAATTGTTACATTACACTACATTACTTTATTTACTAAATAAGATTTTTTTGATGTTTTGCTAAATCAATAGATATTATTAAAGAAACATGTTTTATTACAGGAGGTGCAGATTCGACCATTACAGACATGCAGACCTATATGGACATGCTGAACCCTGATGTAGCAGGAAACTCCCAGAATGCAAAGGACCCGTCACACCTGCCACCCCCTCCAACGTTTCCCCCACCCCCACCTCCGTCCGATTCCTCCCATTCACCACCCCCGCCACCTGCCTACCCCCCACCCAAACCACCAGAGGAGGAAGCGTCCGCCGAATACTTGAAGGTGAAGAGGAACCTTCGGAGAGTGGAGAATGAAGCTGTCAAAAAAGAGGTATGCTATACATTTTCTAGTTGTTTTGTGCATCCTCCTTTTAGGATCACCTTGTGTAATACTACAAAGCAGAATTTGTAAACCAGTTATAACAATGCAAGGAAATATGTGTTTAAGACATTGATCTTGTTGTAATAATCTTTAAAAAAAAATGCATTTTAATTAATCTTATAAAATTAAAGAGTTTAACTTTATACACAAATACACTATACTTAATGAACTTTCAGAAAGTTCGAATCATTCTCAAAATCTGTAACTTAGTGACTTTAGGTCATGTCTGTCAGGGCAACTACTGTATATGCAAGTTTACTTTTAAAAGTTGACAAAATGATCAGCAAATAGATATATTTAAAGCAGCACTTTGCAGGATTTTTCGTTTTTGTCAAACTGTGACCCCTAGAGTCACTGTGGAGTACTTGTACTGTCGTAAATAGCACTCATGCAGAGATGTCTCTGCACTCACGGCCTGATCCCCTCCCCCTGTATACCGTTACCTCTTCAGTAGGATGGAGGCTGTAACGAGTGGAAATAAGGTGTGGCCCCTTTAAGAGCTGCGCCCCGTTGAACTGTCGATAGTCTGTATTGTATGCGCCTCAGCTCGAACACCACATGTATACGGCGCCTTATATGTATGTGTATGTGTATATGTAAACGGCATTATTTCTGTTTGATGCTCCTTTTAGCAGACCTTTTCTTGCCGTAAAGCGTAAAGCAATTCGTTACATCGTGAGACCTGATATCATGCATCACTTCCTGATGCTGTGGCTCAAAGTTGCAAGTGTGTTTTTTCCGCTCACTGGCAATGGGGGTATGTGTGTGTGTGTGTGTGTGGGGGGGGGGGACGCCCAACATTCAACCCGAAAATAGTCATATAACCATTGCAATAACTCCGGAGCTATTCAGTTAAGGTAAAAAACTGCATAGTGCTGCTTTAAAGAGCAAGTTCACCCAAAAAGTAAATCTCTGTCATTCATTACTGTAATGCTCTCGCATGAGAACATGACCATGTCGGCACGCTGGTCGCGACTCACCTTTCTCGTAAAGGCTCGAGTCTCATTTGCTGTTGCCCAGCTGCTGCTTGTGTGTAACAACACAGCTGTGTGTCTGCTCAACACCTGGGAAGACCGAGGATTCAGCAAGGGCGCTTCCGCCAGGTAAACTGTAATAGTTTGTGCTCATGCTAAATCAGATTGAGTTGACAGCCATACTTGCCGGGCCGCTGCGCATTCGGATTCGTTCTGAGCGATGGCCGCTGTATGATTGGTTTCTGGGGGCGGAGCACGAAGAGGAAAGTACCTTAACGCCCACCCTGTGCCTTTCTTCCCAGATGTGCATGAAGAACTTTGGCAGTGTGGAAGCATGTTGGCGCCAATTATCCATTTTATCCAAATTATCACAGAACGACGCTTCATCCCCCGTTTTCTATCGACAGTGGTCCCTCTCGTCTTGCTTGTTTGGTGTCTGGGAGCCTTGCTAGTGCAAGATACCCAAGAAGAGTGGTGGGTTTCGACCAATCATGGATCTGCGTGTTTTGGATCGGCTTCCGTTCAAAATGCTACGCAGAAACGCCTTCTCGAATGCTTTCACTCTTAAGATTGGTTTTCAGCGATCGACCTGAAGGACGCATACTCGGTCAACCTGACTTGTCGTCTCACGAACATGCATTGGTCAGTCAGTGCTGCACTGCTTGAATTCCTTCAAAGGCAGGACAGCAGTTCCACTAAAAAATGATTTCAGAGGCTCCAGGGGCATGTGGCATCCGCTGCCATGGTCACGCCGCTCTGTTTGCTTCAGCCACTTCAGCGCTGCCTACACAACCGGCCCCGAGATGGCATGGCACTGTGGCTCGCTCCAAGTGATCATCACTCCAACTTGCCACCAAGCTTTCAGACCGAGGTCAGACTTTGCTTTTCTATGGGCCCCCTAGAACAAGTGTCCAAGCATGTGTCCCGCCAGAACAAGTGTCCAAGCATGTTGTTGTCTCAACAGATGCCTCCAAATGTGCAACGGGCATTCTGCCTCGGACTCGTGGACAGGACCTCTACGGCATTGACATATCTATTGCCTCGAGTTGCTAGCTGTATTCCTTGCCCTTGCTGGTTTCTACCGCGGCTGCGGGACAAGCATCCGGGCGAGCTCAATCGTGTAGCCGAAAGCTCACACTCCCGGAAGATTCGAGACTCCACCCAGGTGATCCAACGGATTTGGAGGCACTCAGGTGGACCTGTTTGCCGCTCCGGACACGTCCCACTACCAGTCGTTCTATTCGCTGACCGAGCGGACCCTTGGCATGGATGCACTTGCACACTGCTGACACTGGGGCCTACGCAAGTACGCATTTTCCCCAGTGAGTTTACTCGTCCAGACCCTGTGCAAGGTCAGGGAGGACGAGGATCAGGTCTTGCTGGTTGCGCTCTATTGACCCATCTAGACCTGATTCCCAGGACTCGTGCTTCTCGTGAGTTCTGGGAATCAGGCTCCCAGGTTCATTCCGCTCAGGTACAGGGTACAGCACCCCATTTTGACAGTCACTGACATAACTTGTAGTGACTGAATGAATGGGAACGTCTAGGTTACGTATTATAACATGAAGTGGGGACAGAGACGTTACATCCCGTCGCCACAATCCCTGTGTGGCACTGGCTCGTCTGAATGAGTCCTGCACGCTTCCTTATACCCACAACACAAGCGTGGTTCGGGATGCAAATCTCACTCGCCAATGTCCATTGGCCACTTCTGTTGATACACGAAGGTGATAGGGCTCTCAGGCGAGATGAGTCACTGACGTAACATTACAATAGATAACCCAGACGTTTTCCTTTTCTTCGTCTTAGAAAGGCATTTGGCTTTTGAGCCCTTATAACAGAAAGGCTTGAGTTAAGAATTTGACGTCCAGAAACTAGGGGTGTAACGGTACATGTATTCGTATTGAACGGTTTCGGTTCAGGGCTTCCGGTTCGGTACGCATACAAACCTAACGATTGATTGGACCATTTTTCCTGCCGACAAAATTCGCGCTGGCGCGGCCACCACTACTTTGCTCAACATCAAATGGCAAGCGAAATGAAAGTGGAACAAAACTGCGCTACTCATTATGTGCTTCACGGATCGTTTATCAGTTCGGACCAGCAAAATCTGATTCTGTGCAGCGTAGGGTTAGGTACCGAAACTCGGTTCCAATAGGGAACCGGTTCTGACGTAAACGGTAGTAACCAGACCGAATAAGAATGAAAACTTCGGTGCCTGATTTCGATTCCTGAGTCTATGGCATGAGGCGCACACACGCAGTCTCTCGCTGTCTCCCTCTCCCTCTTCGACGTGCGCGCACTATACGGTTTATTGAAGCACTGTCTGATCTGTCTTGCACGCGCGCTCTTGCTCGTTCGCTCTAGATTCCGGGAGATTTGAACTAATTTGCGATCATCCGGGAGCCGTTAACAATATGCGGGAGACTCCCGGAACGTCTGCTGATAGCGAGGAGATTAAACACACGCGTCAGAAAGAATAACGATTGTCTATGGATATAGAATCGCCATTCGCGCCGTGTTGATGCTCACGTCGTCATATTATATTGGCGCGCGCATCATCTGCTCCTCAGAGTTCTCTGCCGAAAAAGGAAGCTTGTCGGCAGCGCAAGATATTTGGCAGCGTCTCGTTCCCTATTCAGAGAACATGGGTTACACAGAGACGTTCTCTTTCATATGTTTACTCAAAGCTGCGTATAAGACACAGTGGGAACGAAATATCAAACTGGCTAAGAGCTTAAAGGGTTAGTTCACCCAAAAATGAAAATTAAGTCATTAATTACTCATCCCCATGCTGTACAAACCCTGTAAGACCTTCGTTCATCTTCGGAACACAAATAAAGATATTTTTGATTGAATCCGAGAGCTGGATCACTCTTCCATTGGCTTCCTAAGGGACTGGCTCTTGACGGCCAATAAAGTCATTAAAGAAAAGGTTTAAATATTCCATGTGCCTACAGCGGCTCAATTATAAGTTTATCAAGCGACGAGACTACTTTTTGTGCGAAAAAAACATAAATAACGACTTAATTCCACTATTCCATTACTTCCTTATGGGCGCATGCGCGAGAACTGAGACGAGGACGTTCTCATTCGTCTACTTCTTGTTACCGGCTGCTCACCGCTTAGGAGTATTACCGCCCCCTACCGTATAAGATGATGTGCTGATATAGCTGGAAGCGCAAAACTTTCTGTTTACAAGCAGAGGAAGACGCGCGCTGTACGCTTTTCAATTAGCGTATTTTCCGCACTATAAGGTGCACTTAAAAGCCTTTAATCTTCTCCAAAAACGACAGTGTTCCTTATAATCCGGAGCGCCTTATATATGGATCATCATTTTATACGGTAGGTGGCGGTAATACTCCTAAGCGGTGAGCAGCCGGTAACAAGAAGTAGACGAATGAGAACGTCCTCGTCTCAGTTCTCGCGCATGCGCCCATAAGGAAGTAATGGAATAGTGGAATAAAGTCGTTATTTATGTTTTTTTCGCACAAAAAGTAGTCTCGTCGCTTGATAAACTTATAATTGAGCCGCTGTAGGCACATGGAATATTTAAACCTTTTCTTTAATGACTTTATTGGCCGTCAAGAGCCAGTCCCTTAGGAAGCCAATGGAAGAGTGATCCAGCTCTCGGATTCAATCAAAAATATCTTTATTTGTGTTCCGAAGATGAACGAAGGTCTTACAGGGTTTGTACAGCATGGGGATGAGTAATTAATGACTTAATTTTCATTTTTGGGTGAACTAACCCTTTAACTAAATGACAAGATAACTTACATGACTAGTTCAAGCAGACAAAACATGGGAACCTGTAGCCATGTCGATATTATATTACCCTTAATCTCTATTAATCTCCAGTATAATTACATTGTTTGATATAATATTGTTTTATTTGATACTATGTAAATATGAACTTTTATTTTATATTGGTTTATTTATTATTAGGCTACCATATGTTACTTGTATTTATAAGTT